CTCTTGGATTTGAACATACTCTCCGATACAGATTTGCAGGCTTTATTAATAAGGACTGTGATGTGGCTGCTTCTCTTTTTCACAGAGTTGAGACAAGAAAGGCAGGAGGGAAGGACCAGGAATTTTTTTTTTTCCTATTGGAGAGTCACAAACTTTTGGAAATGGACATCTGGGCTACTTCTTTCCTAGAGTTGTTTTATCAAATAATACACTGGATAGAGGATATTTTGATTCTTCAAAATAAGCTGAATGAATCAAAGTTTTTCCATCTTTCCTGAGTTCCTTATTGGGCTGAGAGTTCTTTGAGCCACTATGTCATATTCAGACATCCACCCACTGTCCCCGCCACCTTACATATGGCATGGAGGAGACAATAACTGCAGAATACATAATTCACATTCTTCTAGATGCTTTCCCACAAAATCTGTATTCCTAACTACTTAAATTTATTTAAATTTAAAATTTGTTTAAAACTAGTACCTGTTACTTTCTGGTGTTCATAAGAGAACTGGTAAACATATCAAAATCTAAACCTGCTTTTGGAAGCACCAATTCATATTGCTTTCTACTGACAAATTAGAGGCCAAACAAAGTCCTAAGGAATAAGTTCCTTATTATTAATTCTAATGAGAATTAGAAAAATACAAAACTGCATTTAGTTCTGAAAGCTTAATTTGAGTTTTGGTATTGATTAGAGTCATCTTTGCTTATTATTTAAATTAGCTTAGGCTTCTGTAAACATTTAAATTCCCAGTTCCTCCCTGCAGAGTATGAGGCAGACCCCAGAAAACTGTGTTTCTTAACTCGCTCCCCCATGAGTGTTATAATCAGAACATTTTGGTAACTACTGAATTAGAGAGTTCGCCAAGTTGCAGAATAGTTCTTGATGACTATGTGGAATTCATCTTTTTAAGAACCAACAAAAAGCAGGGTTTGGGATTTTCTTTTACAGAAAACCCAGAATAAAGCTGCAGTTTTTTTACTTATGTTTTTTTTAAAAAAACAGGGTAATTTCAGGGGAGAGACAAAATAGACTATTACCAGCATTTTTTTCTTCTCCCAAAGAAGAAAGCTCCCATGGTGTAAATTCAGGTTTACTTAAAAACCATGATATTATGACTAATACATTGGTTGAGAAAACCAATTTTCATTTCTTTTTCCATAGAAGTACTCTTCCTGAAATTTATTATTATTTTATTTTGGCTTCTAACCTTAAAAATTAAATACAGAAAGTGTCTGTCAAATTTTGCAATTTTCCTGCTAAAATTTGTAGTAAAACAGCTCCAAGAGTATAAAAACAAATGTCACTTTCATGGGAGCAAAGGAACATTTGACTTTTAAATGAAAGTAGAATCTGAATCCATGTTGGAAAGAAATACAAAATTAAAAGTTAGAAAATATTGTAGACTAGAAAGGAAAAATATTGATAAGAATGTAGGGATTGTACTCAGAGAAGTATTATCACATGCTCAATAGCAAAAGATTTAATGTAGAATTTTGTTCAAAAATAGAATACTAAAGTAAATTCTTAAGAAAACTCAGAGAAGGTAAATGAGAAAGTGAAATTTTAATGAAGAGAACAAGGCATCTCTGTTTCTACAAGTAACTTTTGTTGTATATGTACACACACACACACACACACACACACATATACACATTCATGCATATATTTACAAATTCATTGAACTGAAAGTCGCTCAGTCATGTCCAACTCTTTGTGACCCCGTGGAGTGTCCATGGAATTCTCCAGGCCAGAATACTGGAGTGGGTAGCCTTTCCCTTCTCCAGGGTATCTCCCCAACCCAGGGATTGAACCCAGGTCTACCTGCATTGCAGGTGGATTCTTTACCAGCTGGGCCACCAGGGAAGCCCACTCTGGTACTCTTGCCTGGAAAATCCCATGGATGGAGGAGCCTGGTAGGCTGCAGTCCACGGGGTCACAAAGAGTCAGACACAACTGAGCGACTTCACTTTCTTTCTATACATATACATAATTCTTCCTTGTCATTGCTTTCCTGACATTAACCCTGTTTGTAGATCTACATTAGACTTTCACATCCATAGCCCCCAAAATGATTAGACAAAGTGGTGGGTAAAAACAGAAAATGAGATAGATAACTTTATGAATATTTCCTTTGAAATGTGCATATATAAAACATTTCACAGGCATATGTTTTGCTGTGAAACATTCATTTATTATATTTATTTGAATGAAAGCTTGTGGTTGAATTTACACTTGTAAGAAATAAATTTATTGAAGATCTTTTCCTCTTATGGCAAGTAACCACAGAAAACAAGATACAAATAATACTAAGAATCAAGAGAAGATGGTTTATCCAACTTCAGAAAAGTTAATTGCCAAGTTGTGTAGGACCTCTTAAAAGAAGAAAAAAAGCACTTCTATAAATATATGAAACTATACTTAATTTCTTAGTATTAATAGTAATACCAACACAAAACACAACTACTTGGATATATATAATTATATATATATAAATATAAAAACGTATACTTTGGTGTGTGTGTGTAAGATGCCTTTATTTCCAAGTGCTAAAAGAACACATGCAATCCATTTTCTCATTTATTTTATAAAATTCCCTTCTTTGTAGGAATGGAGATGTTTATGCCCTATACTTCCTTCTTATACATAGGGTTTTTTTTTTTTGTTATGATAGTCACTGCAGCATTCTTATATTTATTGGTTTATTGGAGCTAGTTGCTTCCTTTGGTAATAAATAGTGAACTTATTAAGGCTTTTCTTCAATATGCCAATCTATAATATTAAAAACAGAACAGCTAAATCTAATTTTAAAACTACCAGTTATATTGGCTGAGTTTAGCCAACTGTCATATTTATATGTACATTACAAACTAAAGCAGTCACTAAAATTAAAGAAAAAAGTTATGGCAAATATGTCAACAAATGAAACACAATGGAATCACTAAAAAAATTCAGTTAATTCAAAATAAGGCTGAAAATAGGAAAAAAAATGAAAGAAAAGATGAGACACATAGGAAATAAATAACAAGATGAGATTTAAACCCAATCACTTCAATACTCATATCAAACACAAACGGTCTAAATGCTCCAGTTAAAAGCAGAGATAGTTGAATTGGAAAAAAGGAAACAACCTTATGCTGGATAGAAAAAATGCATTTTAAATATAAAGCAGAAATAGTTAATAGCAAAAGGATGGAGAAAAACATCTACTAATGCAGTACTAATCAAAAGGAAACTAGAGTACCTCTATGGATAGAAGCAAAGTAGGTTTCAAAGCAGGAATACCACGGGGAATTAAGAAGGTCCTATTCTAATGATAAAAGTTATTTGATTAAAAACACACTACAACCCTAATTATTTATACATTTTTTAACAGACTTTCAAAATACATGAAGTAAATACCAATATAACTGCCAGGAGAAATAGAGAAATCAATAATTAGGGTTGGAGATTTTCACATCACTGTCTCTGTTACTAATAAGTAGATAGAAAATCAGTAAGGATATAGGAAACCTGAACAACACTATCAAATTACTTGGCCAACTTGACACTGAAATTTTATGCACATTTCAGACTGAGATAATGAAATACAATGAATTAATACACATATGTCCAATGTATCAACTAATGATATTAAAAAATTATTCACAAATAATAATTAAATCATATGCTTCACATAAATGGAGATAATGAAGTACTTCACGAGTACAATGGTTCACACCTCTTCCCTAAATCAGACTACATGTGGATTTTAATATTACAGATATATGCTTTTCAGTGAATTTTGCATGGATTATAGATGAGAATACTTACCTTAAAAATAATTTTAAGAACTGTATAATTTATGAAAAATTTCACCTTACAGAATATATTTTCACTCTTTACACATAAAAATGCCTACTGTAAAAGGTGAAAACAGGAATTGAAAGAGCTATTTGCTATAAATTATAGCAGATATTTGTCTACACATAAAAAATTTGAATACATTTTACAAAATATTCAATATTCATTCAATTGAAGATGCCTCTGATTATAAAACATGCCATCATTGTATATTCTTCTAGAAAATAGTAAGCTTCCAATTAAATTGTGATATTAAGATACACCAATTTCTGAGATGTTAAAGCTCAAAATATGTGTGTGTTCTGAGATGTTAAGTGAATGTATCCATCCTGAGATGCTAATAGGCATGTTCTGAGATATTAAAAGGTAAGTAATTGTGGTTTTTTTGTAATCTAAAACTAAAACCGCATCTCCCCTAAAATGGATTTCCTGTTAACTGAATTCAGACTTTGTAGACCCATTGAAACAGCCACTCAAGTCTTAGTATTTCTGGGAAAGTTAAATTTTCTACCATAGATATTTGAAGAAAGAAAGATATTCCCAACCTTTCTATTGGTTAATAGCAAACAAAAGTAAGGAAATAAAGGTGTTACAGAAAATAGAAAAAAATCATCATTAACCCAGAAATGCTGAACATGAATGAAAGTGTATTATATTTCTCCCCAATAGTTCATTTCTACTGATGTCTTCAGAAAGCTATATTTCTTTGCACAAAAAATCTAAGCAACAAATTCAATTTCATTAATGTAAGGCCATATTTTAACATCTGATCCAATTAATTATTGATATTTTCCTTGAGCACTTTCATTCTCCAAGGTCCCAAAGACATTCAGACCATCAAATGGTATGAAAAGATGTTCACCACAGTAAGAACTTTTTGAAAAATAATTAGAGATTTTATGGTGTAGAAGTTTAGGTGCACAAATATATGCTGATTATTTTAATAGTAAGTCATTTTAGAGCTCAAAAACTTAAATCTACGAATTAAAACAAAATCAAAGAAACCAAACGAGAAACAATGAATTAGTAATTAAATCTGCTTACTTCTTATTATAACTCTACAATCCCTACTTATCAAAATTATCAAGGATATTAGAAATGTTAAACAATTTTGCTCCTCCACTTCTGCATGTCATAAATCAGCGGAATGACTTACCTTATCTTTTCTCTGTTTTTCATCCTGGTACACTGTCCAGTGTTCGCCGTCATTGCTGTAAGCTAGCTTGTAGGACCCTACAAACTGCACGTGACCAAAGTCTTTAGCTCCTTGTGTGATGATGCCAGTCACTTTGGTGGGGACTAGAAGGTCCACCTGCGAGAAAGAAAAGACATCATGTAAATGCCACAATAGAGTCTATCATAACTTTGTAATTCTTTTGAACTCAGGAGATTAAGAAACATAAACATGAAAGCCAAAAGTCCACTCGATTATTTGTATTTTTAAATAGATGACTGAGTCTATTGTTGGTTTGTAATTTTGATTATGCCAGTGGGTAAAACTAGTTTAAAATTTGAACAACTACTCTGAGCAGTCATTTCATTCTACCATTTAATTTTATATTAAATTGATTCATCTACCGTGTGGTTTTTGTGTAACTGAGATAGTACAGAACTGGCAAGGCTGACTTTCTTGAGGCTGATCATTTTCTCCCAGAGTTTGTGTTTATAATTCAATTTTCTGACTTTACTGGTCACTTCAGTAATAATAAAAATAAAACTGTAGTTGTGATCACATCACAAAATATTTGATCTTTCAAAATTAAACTTCAAAAAAAAAATCAACTCCATTTCCATGGATTTTAATCAGTTCAGTAATAAATAACTGAATAATAGCAATCATGTGAAATGCCAGGCTGGATAAATCACAAGCTGGAATCAAGATTGCCAGGAAAAATATCAGCATCCTCATAATGCAGATGATATCACTCTAATGGTAGAAAGCGAAGAGGAACTAAAGAGTCTCTTGGTGAGGGTGAAAAGAGGAGAGTGAAAAAGCTGGCTTAAAAGTCAATATTCAAAAAACTTAAGATCATGGCATTCGGTCCTATCACTTCATGGCAAATAGAAGGGGAAAAAGTAGAAGCAGTGACAGATTTTACTTTCTTGGACTCCAAACTACTACAGATGGTGACTGCAGACATGAAATTAAAAGACATTTGCTCCTTGGAAGGAAAGCTATGACAAACCTAGACAGCATATTAAAAAGCAGAGAAATCATAGACAAAGGCTCATATAGTCAAAGCTAATGGTTTTTCCAGTAGTCATGTACGAATATAAGAGTTAGTCCAAAAAGAAGGTTGAGTGCCGAAGAATTGATGTTTTTGAAATGTGGTGCTAGAGAAGACTCTTGAGAGTCCCTTGGACTATGAAGAGATCAAACCAGTAAATGATAAAGGAAATCAACCCTGAATATGCATTGGAAGGACTGTTGCTAATGCTGAAGCTCCAATACTTTGGCCACCTGATGGGAAGAGCCGTGATGCTGGGGAAGATTGAAGACAGGAGAAGAGGGTGGGTGGCAGAGTATGAGATGGTTGGATGGCATCACTGACTCAATAGATGTGAATTTGCACAAACTCCAGGAGATAGGGTAGGACAGAAGAGCCCAGAGTGCTATAACTCACGGGGTTGTAAAGGGTTGGACACAACTTAGTAACTGAATGACAACAACAAATAGTAATCACTGTCCACTGAAATCATCTTTTAGAAAATTACAATCCTGAAACTGTTGAGGAAGTCAAGTATTATTCAAAAATGAGAGAGAATTAAAATATTCATTGATGGCATGTGGGATCTGGACTCATAATGTGCTCACTGTTGCAAAATATTTATTAAAGGGCATAAGACTCATTGAGACTTAGTAAACATTAAATTCTTCAAATACAACACTGAAATGCAAAAGATAGGAATGATTTTCATCAAAGAAGAATATATAACGTTGAATAGTTTTCCCTTTTGTTCTCTGTTTCATGCCTCTTTTCTTATATCTTATGATGCTAAGTAACAGAAAAATTATAGGAAACTTTGTTTTCTATGTGGACAATTCTTAAGAGACCTTTACCATTTGTTGTCTTAATGTTCTTTGATCTATAGCTTCCTGTCTTCCTACAATAGCCTACTACTTCTTCCTGCTTCCTATGACTAAGTGCCCTGGTACATCCTTGATATTATCTTCTTCAACTGTCATTATTCCACATGTGACCTCAGTGGCTTTCAACCACTATGACCTCCTGTTTCTATTTCAGTTTCTCCATTCTGAGAGATGTACAGAGCCACAAATAGACAGTCATGGGTCAGACAGAGGCCATGGCTAAGAAGAGGGGACTAAGGAGAACGTACAGAATAGACCATGTTTAGTGACATAGATGCTTACCAAGAAGGATATGAAAAAGTTCCCAGTGTTTCCTGGTATAGGAATGTATTTCTAAAAATTCACATGGGCTTTTTGTCCACTTTTTGGAACATTCATTAATGACATCAGGCTCAAATTGCATAATGGATTAAGACAGAAAACCACCTTCATGCTGCCTTAAAATATTCTAGAAAGTTTATAAAAAAATTTAAAATATTTGTTGTTGTTGTTTTCTGAATAACATATTATGTTACCTGAAACATCTTGTGTGTCCTGCAGCAAAAAAAGGATGGCAAAATTATGATATTCTGGAAAGGAAAACTGTTGCTGCCTCACGCTCTGCTAAATGCTTTATGGTATGTCTTCAGTGACTCCTCTTAACACTTGGTAGGGTATCATCTCCACTTTATAGAGAACAGAGGCCTATGGAGTCAACATGACATGACATGTGACCCAAAGATCAGCAGTAAGTAAAAGGAGGAGCCCAGATTCAAATCTGTCTTTCTGAGTTGAAGTTCTACCACATGCATAGATTCTCACGCAATGATTTCATTGCATTCTCTTTTACTGGAATTTTTGAAGAGTCTCAAAGCTTTCTTGCCACACTCATCAAGCATAAAGGCACTCTAAGCTTCAAACAAAAAACAATTCAGGCTTTACAATATTAGGAGAGCCCTGTCTTTAAACTTTCATTTCCTCTCTGTTCTTTAGCTGTCTGAATGGATTGCTATTGCAATCCTAAATCCAAATCTAATTGCGCAGAAACGTCTAGGCATAGTGGCTGGTCTTCAAAGTGCTCTTAATGTTGATGACAATAAATGGAAAAAAAAAAAAGAAAGATCTTACAGTACTCTGAGTCACTGTGTTGTCATCAAGGCTGTAAACACACAAGAACTCAAACTGTCACAAGAATACAAACGCCTCCAGTGGATTCTTCAGTGCCTAATGTCTGTAAGTAAGTCCTGAGCTAAGATGATGCAGTGAGGAATCTTGTAGCATCTTTTGCAGTGCTATTTCTTAAAGTCACGGTTTCCTGCTGGGTGGAGATGTTTTCTCCTTAAGTTGTGTGTCTTGGCTCTTTCTAACAGATCTGTTTTTCTCCCAGTCTAACTGCTCCCCTTCTCAGCTTTTTTTTTTTTTTCTGATCAAGAAATGTTTTTCTTTTTTGTTCCAGTTAAGTCAACTCCTCGATTTAAATAGTCAGCAATCTGTTTCAAGCTGGATTTTGTCCTAAAATTTGTTACATTATAAACTTAGAATACCAGGCCTAAGCAAACCTTTCAGTATAAAAATAACCAGCATCCCACATTTCACATGAGGTTGCTGCAGCAGGGATGTACAGATTTCACTTGGAGACACTGCAGCGATTTATCACTCTTGTGTTCAGCATGCAGGGTGATTCCAGAGAAGCGCTATACTTTGGACCTATGCCTATCCCTGGCCCAGGACCACTCTGCCCTCTCACAGAGTTTTTGAGCTAAAGTTGTAGTCCAAACATGCTTCTGCTATTTTAGATCCTCACCTCCCAAGGCTTGGCTGAGATACAACAGGTTATTTAGGGCACTAAGCTGGCACATGAGTAGGTTGGCACTGCACCTCATGTCCAGATCTGTAGTAAAAGTGCCTAACATGTAATGGTCTCTTAATAAAGTTTTGCTGGATTGAGCTGGAACTGCTTCCTAAGTATGTTCAATGGACAAAACCAACCACGGCTAAAGATGTGGCAAAGCATCACAGCAGGAGATGTTAGCTGCTTTTCTCTTGTTTATCTACACAACATTACTAGTCAAGAAAATACTGTCATAGCTGAAGTAACAATTTTTACTGGGGGTGCAACTAGTTAAAAATCCGCTTCAATCTTCAGGAATGTGATTGTGAGAGCCAGTTTATTCTAGCAGAATGGAATGGTCTGGGTTCAGGAACAGCCACCACCCTTCCTAGTTATACGTCTTTGGCAAGCTATTTTACCTCTATACAGTTCAATGTCTTCATGTGAAAAAATGAGAACAGTTCTGTTGTTAGTATTTTACAGATATCATGAGGATTAGATGAGTTAATATGTGTGCAAAACAATATATAGGACATAATAATGGTATATAAAACTTGGTTAACAGTAAAACAATAAGTAAATCTGGGGGAAAAATTTAATTTCACTCTCTGAGTACCTGTTAGAAACATAAATATGGAAACAGGGAAACTAGGTTCCCAGCAACTTTGTATCATAGCACATTTTGGTCACCTTCTCAGGATGTACATAAAGATAGTCATTTCATTTTTCTTAAAGAAAATATTAAGCAACTACAACTCACATTTATGGGTAAAATGATTAACTAAGAATGAGATAATTTATGAAATATTGTACATCTCTTTTTAAATACTAAGATTATGTTATAATAAGGAAATGGTCTCACTGTTTGCAGATGGCATGTTACTATACAGAGAAAATCCTAAAGATGCTATCAAGAAACTATTAGAGCTCATCAATGAATTCAGTAAAGTTGCAGGATACAAGCTTAATACATAGAAATCTGCTGCATTTCTATACAATAACAATCAAAAATCAGAAAAGGAAACTAAGGAAAAAATTCCATTTATCATGGCATCAAAAAGAATAGAATACTTAGGAATAGATGTACCTAAAGGAGGCAAAAAAATCTATACTATGACAACTGTAAGCCACTGATAAAAAAAATCAATGTCACAAACAGATGGAATGATATACAATGTTCTTGGCTGGAAGAATCAATAATGTCAAAATGACTACATTACCCAAGGCAATCTATACATTTATGCAATTCCTATCAAATTACCAATGGCATTTTTCACAGAACTAGAACAAAAAATTGTGTATGGAAAAACAAAAGACCGCATATAGTCAAACCAATCCTAGGAAAGTAAAACAGAGCTGAAGGAGTCAGGCTCCCTGACTTCAGACTATAAAGCAACATTCACCAAAACGG